ACTCTGTTCCCTTCCCCTCCCCACAACAGACACCCTGTGAGGTGGGTGGGGCTGAGAGAGTTCTTGACAGAAACTGCTCTTTTTCAAGAACGGCTCTTATCAGAACTAGGGCTTGCCCAAGGTCATCCAGCCAGGTGCAAGTGGAGAAGTGGGGAATCAAACCCGGTTCTCCCAGATTAGAGTCCGCAAACTTAACCACTATACCAAACTGGGTCTCAGAATGTCCCTTTACTCATACCCAAAACGCCGAGATTAATCAGGTAAGTAAGGTGAACATTGCTCTCTTGGTCCCTTTTTCCTCAGCTGGCTGAGTGGCTACCATAAGAACATAAGAGAAGCCAATGCTGGATCAGGCCAGTGGCCCATCCAGTCCAACACTCTGTCACACAGTGGTCAAAAATACCAGTTGCCATCAGGAGGTCCAGCAGTGGGGCCAGGACACCAGAAGCCCTCCCACTGTGCCCCCCCCCCAGCACCAAGAATACAGAGCATCATTGATTGGCTCCAGACCGAGAGCTCCTATCTATACCTTGTGGCCAATAGCCACTGATGGACCTCTGCTCCGTATGCTTTTCTAATTCCCTCTTGAAGCCGTCCATGCTTGTAGTCGCCGCCACCTCCTGCAGCAAGGAATTCCATGTGTTAATCACTCTTTGGGTGAAGAAGTATTTCCTTTTATCTGTTCTAACCCAACGGCTCAGCAATTTCATGGAGTGCCCACGAGTTCTTGAATTGTGAGAAAGGGAGAAAAGGACTTCTTTCTCAACCCGCTCTATCCCATGCATGCAGAAAGTGAAGAGGACCTAAAGAGCCTCTTGCTCAGGGTAAAAGAGGAGAGCGCAAAAGTGGGCTTGAAGCTCAACATCAAAAAAACTAAGATCATGGCATCCGGTCCCATCACTCCTTGGCAAATAGAAGGGGAAGTCGTGGAAGTAGTGACAGACTTCACGTTCCTGGGATCCCAAATCACCGCAGACTGTGACTGCAGCCATGAAATTAAAAGACGGCTGCTACTTTGGAGGAAAGCGATGGCGAACCTAAACAGCATGATAAAAAGTAGAGACATCACCCTGCCAACAAAAGTCCGCATGGTCAAAGCAATGGTATTCCCAGTAGTCATGTATGGCTGCGAGAGTTGGACTATAAGGAAGGCCGAGCGCCGAAGAATAGATTCTTTTGAACTATGGTGCTGGAGAAGACTCTTGAGAGTCCCTTGGACTGCAAAAAGATCAAATCAGTCAATCCTAAAAGAAATCAACCCTGACTGTTCCCTGGAAGGCCAGATAATGAAACTGAAGCTCAAATACTTTGGCCACCAAATGAGAAGGGAGCACTCACTGGAGAAGGCCCTGATGCTGGGAAAGACTGAAGGTCAAAGAAGACGGGGACAGCAAAGGATGAGATGGTTAGACAGTGTCAAAGATGCAACGAACATGAAACTGAGCAAACTTCAGAGGACGGCGGAAGACAGGAGGGCCTGGCGGGATCTAGTCCATGGGGTCGCGAAGAGTCGGACTCGACTGTGCGACTGAACAACAACAATTATGATACTGGCTGATTTGTTTTCAGTTCCCTTCCTAATAATCCAGATCCAGTAAATACTTTACAGTTTATAAGTATTGGATGCTGAGAGAAAAATATTTACTTGCAAAATAAAACCCAAGATGCCTTATGATTGGTATTAGTGAAAGTAATGGAATGCGGAATTTAAAAAAAGCAAAGTGGAGACTGAGCATGAAGACCAGGAAGCAGAACTTTCTTCCCTGCTGCTGCTCACTCTTCAGCAGACGCTGCTGGAACAACTTGCTCGGAAAGGCAGGGAATCTGGTTCCAGAAGAGAGCTGAGAATCCCTTATCTGTCAAAGACAAGCCCTGTTCAGTTGTTGTTCACAATCAGGTTTTTTTGCACAGTAGGCGAGGCTACCATCTGGCGTGCCCGGGTGGGGAGTGCAGACCCGTAGCTACAGTGGGGGCATCTCGGGGCCTGGCCCCCTGACTTATCACCAAGGCCCCCCAACTTCCCATCCAGCCCAGGCGCTCCCTTGTGTGTGTGTGCAGGGGTTAAATAACTGACGTATTTAAAGGCCCCCTGAATTTAAAAATCCTGGCTACAGGCCTGGGGGAGCATCTCTCCGTTTAGGCGAGGGCGGGGTGGCAGGCCGGGGGGGGGCGCTTCCTCTTAAGGAGTCGCTCTAGGCCGCTGCCTAAAAATTGTCTATGATGGGCCGACCCTGCATGAATGCAACCTGTACACACCTACGGCTTGCTGCAGATATTCAGGGGTGGTGAGGCCAGTGGGCACAAACCCACTCCGTTTTGTGCTCATAAAGCACACGTACTTTGAACAACTGAGCTGGGCTACCGCCTGCCAGAATAGGTAACAGTATGAGAAACGACCTGAGTAACAGAGATGTTTCAAACGCAAGTGTGATCCCTGTCTATTGGCAAGCACAGACATTTCATTTCAGGGAATGATCAAAAATGTTAATGGGAGCAGAAGTCGCCTGCTTCTTTTGTGGTAGCGCTTTGACTTGTATTGAACTCAAAAACAATGTAACTCAACATTTGCCCTCTTGGCTTAGAAAACACTTAGAAAAGCTGTAATAGCAAACGCAGTTCCACCCTGTGCTGAGACGGATCAGCATTCATCACACCTAGGTGAGTATTCTGTAGTACTGATATATTAACAGTCCTAAATGTTGCACTTGCTAGTTTTAACTGCATGTCTCCATGCATACTAAATTCATTCTATTCATTCTTAATAGTAAAACTTAAAATGTCAACAATCAGTTTAAAGGTCTCCCAGTCATTCATGACTCACTATCTTAGTCTCAGTTTACAAGTGAAAGCTTAACAATTCATATAAAATACATGATTTTCCTGGCTGACATATTAACACACCACAGCAGTTATCCTTAGCCAAGCAAAACACTACTTGAAAAATGGCTCGTTTTGCGGTTCACAATGTTGCACAGAAGCTAACTATTTGGACCCGATAAATCCCTTTCGTACTAATCATGTTTATTATTTAATAGACTCTTTTAAAAATAATCACATAACTTTACCACTAATTAGACTGCATAATAATAAATAATGTGCAATGTCTTTATTTTCTTTTGTTCAGTTCCATGTCTGTAACTCGTCTGGAGTCAGAATTACAAGCCGAGATCCAGAAGCTCAACCCTGAATTGGACCGCGTATATTTTAACAAAGGATTATAATTTGTAGCAAACTGTCCCTCGGCGACAACTAGGTGAACTTATTTTTGAATTCTGTGACAACTTTGAAGACAGTCCTGAATGTGTCCTTTCAGTTTTATCCAATTTTGAACACTGAGGTTATTCGGTAACTGCTAGAGGATTTTTAGAGTTATCATTTCAAATCATAGTTGTTGTCTTTACCACTTTGCTGCATAGACTTCAATTTGTTTTTGGCTGCAAATATTCCCAAAAAAAAGTTTGCATCAGTTCCCATGTAGCTGAAGATGAAATACCTTTAGAAAACACCACGGGCAGAGAAAATCAGAATATTTTGTTTTAGACTATCTTCCGATTTTAAGTTTCCTTTAAAAGCGAGTAACTGAGAAGCTGATTTTTGCCACTGTTTTGCGTCTACAGTTCAGATTGCAATTTCCCATCTCATGGCTTTCTAAGGTCCAGAGTATGGTTTCTGCAGCATGCCCGCTCAGCATGCCTGGGCTCATAAATTGCTTTATCACTCTCTTGATTTAACCAGCACTGACAGGGTAGAATGGAAGAACCGACTCATGCAACTTGGCACAGAGAAGAGCCAGCGTGGTGCACTGGTGAAGTGCAGCGTATTCTAATCTGGAGAACCGGGTTTGATTCCCCACTCCTCCACATTAAGGCTCCGGTCACACGGGCAGGAAACTGGCGGGGAAGCGTGGCTGTTTGCCCCGGGGCAAACTAACACGCGGTTAAGCGATCAGACCTCCTGTAGAGGTCCTGTGGAGGTACCGTGGAGGTTCCGTGGGTAGGGAGAGGTGCCGATCACAGGACACGCCTGCGCGCAACGAAGAAGTGCGCGGTGCAGCAAACTGGTTTTCTTTTTTTGTGTACACGACAAATGCGCATGCTCCGTTGGGTGCGTGTGTGCATCCACGGAGACTTGGGGGGAAAAAACCTTTTCTCGCAAGGGGACATGGGCGGGCACCGGATGCCACCGGAAACGCGATCAGACGCCCTCCCTTGCCCCGCGGTTTCCGGAAACTAGTACCTCAGAGGTACTAGTTTTTTGCTGCGCGTTTTCAGCGGGAAGCCTCGGTTGTGCCACGGAAGCGCTACGCTTCCCAGATGTGGTGGTGAGATCGCGCCCGGAAAATCCACCTGTCTTCCGTCTCTCTTGCGTGGCTAATGTTCCATGTGACCGCAGCCTAAGCCTGCTGGATGACCTTGGGCCAGTCAAGAGTTCTCCCAGAACTCCCTCTGCCCCCACCTACCTCACAAGATGTCTGTTGTGGGGAGAGGAAGGGAAGCAGATTCTAAGCCACTTTGAGACTCCTTAGGGTAGAGAAAAGCTTGGTATAAAAACCTACTCTTCTTCCGAATCCCAGTATATCGTTTAAACTTGGGTCCTCAGCCACTATACACGCAATGTTAGCATACCAGAGATCCAACAGTGCCACATTTAAATTGGGACTGGTTTAAGTCGTTCAGGGGAGAAGCAGGGATTGAAGTGTCCCCGGGTGTGAATGGAAAATATGGAGTAAAGAAAGAGTCTTATCAATAGCTCTGAGGCCAATTCACATAACAGCTTTAGTTGTCGTTATTGCTTGAAAGCTGTTTGTGTTTTAAAAAAATGGTAATAATTGGTCAGCCCTCTTAGATCATACAAAAGTGTCTAGAAATTGAACAAGAAAGAAGTATGGGATGAATCTAAAGGTTCCCTTCCACTGTGTCAAGATAGCTAGGCTTTCTTGTGGGTTAACAGGAGACTTGCGCACACATGAGCCAACTTAAGTTTTAAAAGTATTTATTTAAAACAATGATCAAAAGAGAGAAATACAAAATCCAGCAAACCAACACTTCAGAGAGTACAACAAAATAAAAAAAAACACTGACTCAAACTACCTGTGTTCTACAGCGCAGTTTCAGGAAGCATAGGCCATAAGTCACAACAAGGAATGTGGCTTCAGTTGAGGTCTGCAAATACGACAAACCGCATACAGGAGTTCCCAGAAGCTCCTAGGCTAAATTTTCCCCCAGCTAAGGTGGCAAGATATACTCTCTTTTCCTTTCAAATACCAGCTGCCCCCACTTTGTGGTCAAAACAGTTTTTCCAAATAGAGTTAATTGGTAGGTCTGCCTGTCCTTAGAATCAGCACCTTAACAATAACAAACTTAAAACAGCTGCATTAGGAAGAAGGCTAACATACTGTTATATCCCTTAAGCCTTCATAGGCACTTTTGCTTCACACACTGATAGAAGGAATTTTCAAAGAAGTCCTCCTATGCATAGAGAATAGCACTTATAATTCTAATTAAGAGCCTATCCAAGTATTAAGCTAATTGACTGGTGCCAGCCTTGGGACTGGGACTGTACCATGACCTGAGTTATGCAGCAGATGTGATAAGTGCATTTTGCCGTGTTCAGCAGTGGATTTGCTTTCAGTCATGGTGCTTAACATCCTGCAGCAATGGGCAGGATCCGAAAGGAATTTCCTAATGGCTTTCTGTCTGGTCATGGCAGTAGCCACATTCTGCAAAAATCCAGCTGGGTTTATGGACTTCATTACTTAGTTTCAGTTGCCTTATTTGTTATGTTTTTTCCCCCTGGAAATGGCATCGTTTTTATTGTTATGATTATTGGCCTTTTTTTCTCATATCTTTCAGTCATCAAACCATGTGAAAATCTCAAGACCAATGCTCCCTCTAAGCTGTGGCATCTTGTGAGCAAAAATTCTACTTTGTGAGCGGCTGGCATTAAAGTTGTGAGCGAGCAATTTGGCTGCTGCCTCAATGGGTTTGCTCTGGAGCCCTCCTTCCTGAGTGAAGACAAAAATGTGTGAGCCGGAGGCTAAAAAACTGTGAGCCGGCTCACACTAACTCAGCTTAGAGGGAACACTGCAAAACACTCTTAAATTCAGTCCCGTGAAAACACTAAACTGCTAAGTGGAATTATAGGACTGCCCGGTATTTCCAAGAGAGGTATATTGTCAGCGCCTTATTAATTTTTGACAGTTGTTGGTCAACAGTTTTGTTCCATAAGCAACACAGGCAAGAAGCACTTTTAATCAGTTGCTTACTGCTTTACTATGCCTTAGTGTGTGTTGTAATCCTTATTAATACAATGTTCTCATAAAGTAAAGGTAAAAGGTAAAGGTTCCCTTGCTCGAAAGCCAGTCGAGTCCGACTCTAGGGTTGCGGTGCTCATCTCCGTTTCCAAGCCAAAGAGCCAGCGCTGTCCGAAGACGTCTCCGTGGTCATGTGGCCGGCATGACTAAACACCAAGGCGCACTGAACGCTGTTACCTTCCCACCGAAGTGGTACCTATTTATCTACTTGCAATTTCTTGCTTTCGAACTGCTAGGTTGGCAGGAGCTGGAACTAGAGACAGGAGCTCACTCCGTCATGCGGCACCCAGGTCTCGAACTGCTGAACTACCGACCTTCTACAGCTTGCAGTTCAGCGTCTTAACCACTTGAGCCACCGCAGCTCCTTCCCATAAAGTAGGTCACTATTATTTCCTCTCACTCAGGTGAAGAAATCGGCCCAAGAAATAGTGACTAGTAAAAAAATATCCACTGAGTCCATGCCTAAATTTTCCCTCTGTCTTTTCTCTGCTGAAACAATCTGCCTCACTATGGCACACCTCGTTAGAGAATTAGTCCCATCGGCATTCTGCTGTAATTTCAGTGTGTGTGTGTGACCTTTCATGCCATGGGAGTCTACCATTAATGTACAGCATCCCAAACACAATGTACTGGTACAAATAGATCTAGCCCTGTACTCAGTGAAGTTGTTACTCAACAGAGATCCCAGCTTTTGTACATGTTCAAAATAGTATGCATAACTGGTGAGTGTCACACTACCAATACAGTATTTACATTATAAAATAGCTAATGTCTAGCTGTGCCAAGCACAGTGTAGAGGTCTATGTTTTCTGTGATTGTTGTATCAGAGTGAGATGTTCCATAAAACAGAGACTTGTTTAGGGTCAGATCTTGGTTATTTTAACAGAAAGAGGAAAAACAGATCTTAATGCTTGAGGCTGCGTCCTATAAAACGTTTGATTTGAAAGACACCCACATGGTGGGATTTGTAGAGCAATTCAGTGGTTTACAAACTGTGTTCCAAGAAGTCATGAGGTTGTGTGGAACCTCACTGCTAGTTCCTTGGTGAGGAGACCAATAAAATCAGATGCTTTCCCGAAAACAGCTTGTCAACCACTACCAGTCTTCCCCTCACTGTATATCCAGAGGAGAGTGTTAAGTTAAACTCCATTCATGGTAGGGCATTGGTGAGGTCTAGCAAGCCTAGCCAAGGTCTTACATAAAGCGAGTGTACGTCCTAGAAAATGCCCCAGAAATCTGTACATTAACATGGATTTCCTTGTCTGACAAACTGATATAAAGAGAAGCAACACAGAAACTCGGAAGCCACTGAAGGAAGCAACTTTGGGGTATTAACCTTGGGGTTGTGTTAGAGCCTTTCCTACAGTGCTTATTCCAATGTTGTCATACCTCATGCTACTTTCCTAAGACTGCATCTAAAGTGTCACACTATCACTATCACAGTACCTGCTTTGGCAGTAGTGGGGGGAAATTATCGTGTGATGGATCATTTACCTTTAAACAGGACACAGATTGCTTCTGTAGACAGTGTACTACTCATGCACCCATCTGCAGTGCAGGTGGGGGTAAGGGGCAATATTGCAGTACGATCAAAGGATCATGTAGACTGGATGTGCCTTGGCCCTAGGGCTGCCAGGTCCCCTGGGGGGGCAGAGGTTCCCTCGCTCAAAGGGCCCCCAACCCACTGGTCCAGATCCAGCTGATAGGGGGAACCCCACCCCCGAAGTGGCCAGATCGAGTCGACGTGCCCAGCGTGATGACGTCACTTCCAGGCGATGTCATTGCAGCGCATGCAAATGTCCCAGAATGGGACTGCCACTCCCCCACTGCAGCCAGTAAGTCACTTGGCAACCCTGCTTGGCCATGCAGATTCGTGCTGGTGTGCAGAACAGCCTTTTGAAACTTTCA